GAACCGATTTCTTTCAATGATACGTCAAAAGATCACAAATCGTATCTAGTCGAAGACATTACCCTCAAAAATTGAAAAAAATTCCCTCGTTCCCCGTAAATGGGGGAAACATCCGAAAAAATTACAAATTTAAAAATGGCTAATTTTCGAAATTTTTTTACAAAAACTGCCGTAACTTTTTTTAAAATAAACATATCAACATAATTCTTTTTTTTATAGTTGCATGATGTCATTACCTAAAAATCTGACTTTTTACCTGCCTACAGGGGGGGATTCAAAATGACAACTTTTTCACAAAAAATTGACTTTTTCAACTTAAATTTTGAAAGTGTTTCGGAAAGTCTGACACTTTTATATATATATTAAATTAAAGCTAATGTAATCTACTTTAATAAGGAAAAAAAAAATTTCGGACTTTATTTTATATTCAGGGTGAAAATGGCTACCGAATGCTATTTTTGTGTGAAAATTTTCGATTTTGTATTTTACATTTTTAACTTTATTATGCTATAACTTTTTTGAAAAATGTATGGATCAATATCATTTTTTTATGGGAAATACTATTTTTTAATAATTCCTTTTTCATTCGACATACTTTATCTTAATCAGGATATTAATAAGGAACTAGCAGTTTATGAAGCTTTTGGAATAATCCACAAATTTTTTAAAATTAAACACTATCTAAAGATTTGCATCGAAGCGTTTTATTTTGATAGTGATTCTAATCACTGTCAGATATCATTATACTTGATCCAACTATGCTACGTCACCACTGTGCCGCGACCCCCCTGTGCTGGGTTTTTTTTAATCCTCGTACTAAAATATCCCCATCATCTTCATCTACACTAAACGTACATACTTAAAATGTTGTTTCTTACGGTTCCCTCCAATAAAATCTATTAAAAGAAATACTCCAGGTTTTATTTGAGACCAAATTGGTGTATAAAACTTCTTCAATACTTAAATCTAATGAATTTTCATTACAATCATCTTCTGATAAATGATAAACTACATCATCAATATTATCAATTGATTGTTCCAACTCAATATTTTGTACATCATTAATAGCTTTCTTAGGTCTCCCAAGTTTACTAGGATATTTGATTAGCTTTAAGGTTGCTTCCTCCAATTATTTTAACACATTTTTATCTGATAAAACTTCACCATACTTTGTTACTCTAAGACGAGGAACTCGGGNACTTCACCATACTTTGTTACTCTAAGACGAGGAACTTGGTCTTTTGTAACACAAATTGTATTGTTAGTTTTATATTGTATTAATTGAATTGAAAAAATAGATATTATATCTTTTGGGCTTACTGAGATATTATTACTTGATGTTGGAAAAATTTAGTCTATAAAAGTGTTTGACGTTGAAGGTTCTAATGAAATTTGAGTTTCTACAACTGTTAATATGTTTTTTTGATGTAATTACGCACTCTGAAGTTGAAAAAAAAATGATAAAGATCGTAATATTTCAAATTATATTTGTTATTAATATTTCCATTTAGCCCAATTGATTTTTATTTTGTATTTTACAAAAAAAATATAATTCCATAGAAAAAGTGATATTAAACTAGTTTTAGGGCCGTATAGTAAATAAGTAAATATGAAATGACAATTTAGTTCAAACTGTACTGTTCTACTTATATTTTTGATGAAGATGCCCTTCTCAAAAGGCATTAAGCAGAAAATATAATCTAAAATAATCATAAACACTTTTTCGAGTGATAACAATTTATACATATCCTCAAATTTTCCATATTTTTATCATTGCACACTATTATACCTTATGTGTACTGTGGTTATAATGATACCGAATTCTATAATCACTAATAATTTATTTTAAATAATATTTTTTTCCTTTTGCCCCAATTTCCATTTACCCCACTTGACCCTATCGAATTTCAACTACTATAATTTGGAAAAGTTCCATTAACATAGGAATTGGTGTGACTAAAACAAATGAAACTATAATTGATGGTGAAAAAGTAAATGGGAAATTTTATGTTATTGTAGCAATAATACATCCGAAGCCAAACGTATTGGGAAAATATAAAGAAAATATAACACCTAGAAATCTAGAAATCATGACATATGATGGTTATTTCGAATTTCTTTAGGAAGCAAAAAAACGCGACGAAAATATGATTAAATACGATTTCCAGTCATATGTCAAAAAACTTACGGGATCTTCTTCTTAAAGAAATGTCAGCCTTGAAAAAAAAATAGCATGTATACTTGTCCCAACTTTTCCACGTCTATACTGTGCTACCGTTTTTTAGTTTTTAAGGAGATGAGCAGAATAATATGTATATGTTATAAAAATTATATATATCTTGAGTTTTATGAATGAATAAAGCTTATAAATTTAAAAATTAAGTGTTATCTAAATAAATTTTTTAAAAATCAGAATAATATAGAGTGATCCAAATGTAAAAACAAAAAAGTGATCGATGTAAAGAATGATCTAGATATAAAAAAAATAAGTTGCAATAGACAGAATTACCTAAATGTTATTATTATTAATATAGTTATATTAATAGTGCTATTAATGAATAAATCGTATAAAATTGAATATACATGGTAATATAAATATACAATTTATAAAAATTTGATTATACAGAGTGATCAAATATATAAAAAAAAAGTTTCAATTAATAAAATTACCCTATTGTCATTGTTTTCTCTTTATTTGGTTAACTAGACATGAGGTCTGTATTTTTGTTGCAATTAATAGTTAATGACTATATACGGGTGAACTTTAATTTTATATTATAAGTAATGGTCAATTATTATTATGTTTTTTCTTTCATTCTTTTTTCTCCTTTGCATTCTCATTCCATGAGCAGTCAGATCCTCGGGTGTCGTCAGAATGGATACGGTGAATATCTCAATAAGTCCTCTATATTTATAAAGAGGATATTTATTGACGTTGGTGACATGACCACTATACCCTGGCACATTCGTTGGATCTGTCATGCTCATGTTTTCCCTATTTTGTTCATTTATTTTATGTTGTGGTTATGAAATTGACTATGCAATATTGAGATTATGGCATTGAAATTTAATATACTTCAGTAAGTAGTTTTTGCTCTAGTTAATATAGCTCTATATCTGGTGACGTTATCTGTTCTTATAAGGAACATTTTCAATACTTAAGGTGAAAAAGTTTAATTTTTGTCCAAACTATTTTGAATCCCTCCCTAGGGGCAATTATAGCGTAAGATTTTCCTGAAATGAATACCAAATGAAAAGTAAATACTTAAGGTAATTATTATGGGGTCGTGACATAGTTGGGTCCAGTATAGATGATATCTGACAGTGATTAAAATCACTATCATAAAAAACGCTTTAATGCAAATCTGTAGATAGTGTTTAATTTATAAAAAAAATTTGTCAATAAAGTAGGTCAAGTGAGAGCTGAGAAAATGAATGATAGCTACAAAAAAAAAAAACACATAGTAAAATAATATTAATATGAATTTCTTCTGACGAAAAGAGACTACAGTAATGAGGTCCTTGATATTTATTGAAGTTATTGAAACTAAATGAGATAAAAATCAAATGAGTTAACACATTTTTTCTAACTCAAAAAAATTTTTTTTTTAAAGAATCATTAACATAAAATTGAGAAATTTTAATTTTAATTGTTAAATTATAATATGTGATGGACAATTTTTCACAAAGATTAAAGTAGTTATAATTAAATATTAATTTTAATTGGTTTTTGATGATTATCAAAAACCAAGTAAGAATCTATTGAACATTTAGTTTTCTTTCTTTTTGATGATGAAATTTTTTTTTGAAGAAGATCTCATAAGTATGACTCGAGTTCGTATTTAATTTCATTTTTGTCGCGTTTATTTGTTTCCTGAAGAAATTCGAAGTAACCATCATGTATCATGATCTCAATATTTCTAGGTGTTATATTTTCTTTATATTTTCCTAAAACACATGGCATAGGATGTATTACTGCTACAATAACATAAAATGATCCATCTAATTTTATATTAAGAATGGCAATTTCATTTGTTTTTACTACACCAATTCCTATGTTAATGGCATTTTTCCAAATCATTGTAGTTATAGGTCCAAACCAACTTTTTTTCTCATCTATATAAACGAAGGTTGGTCAT